AAAGGTAAGGGAAGTATCGATACTACCAACAATGCTCAAATTCTATAATGCAAAAATGATATCGATATCCAAAGGGGCACCGATACTACTTTGTGTAGTAGTATCGATACCATATGCATAGTATCGGTACCATCAGACCCCAACGACTAGTAACTACTAGTTGATTTAAAAATAACAAAGGTAGTACCGATACTCCCTTTAGGAGTACCAATACCCTCTGTACTGGGCAATTTTATTTTGTAGAGAAATCATCCCCAAACAGCTAGAAATCATCACCAACGGCTAGAAACGTCCACAAATTCATTCCAACATATAAATACAAGTTCAAGACACTTGAAGAAGGATAAGAACACCTATCCAAGCATTCAAACACAAGAGAAGAGTTTTTCAGTTTATTTTCATCTCTCTTGTAAATATTAGTGTTTTAGTGAGCTAAATTTGTAAACATCCTACCTTTGAGAGATTTTATCGTTTACTTCTTTTTACCTTTGTAAAAAGGGGATTGGTTATATCTTAGCCAATTGAAAAGATAGGGAGTGTAAATGTTATCTCTTGATCCTTGAAAAAGAAAAAACAAATTAGTAAATTTGTAGAAAATTTAAATGAGGAGCTTAGGTAGTGGAAGTAGACTTGGTTGATTAGTCAAACCACTATAAATCCTTGTGCCAACTTTCTCTATCTTTTACTCTCCTTACTCCCTGAACAAATTATTGCCATTCACCCCCTTTCAACTTTTTCCGTTGTCAATTCGAGCTTCCGTAAATCCTAACAGAGGGGTTCGAGAATGTGATCAAGAGCCTTCATTTCATCTTCAGTGATATGGGGAAACAAGCCATGCAAGGGAGAAGCAGTGAATGGAGAGTTGTTGAGACTAAATAAGTCTTGCAAAAAACTAGTTGCCTCCAAATGAAGTGTGCAATATCATCACACCACTCGTAGAGACCTTGAGAGAAATAATTCCGTTAAGACGTTTATTCATGGTTGTTTTCTTGTGAAAATTGGAGGTGTTACGATCACCAAAGTTAATCCAATTCGAGCAAGACTTTTGCTTCTAAAGAAGTTCTTCTTGGTCACGAGTTTGCTCAAGTTCAAGTTGAAGGCTAGACTCCAGATAAAGTAAAAAAGAAGAGTGACGCTCATCTAGGTAGTGCTGAACGCCTCTTAGCCAAGCCATGAGAGATTTTTTCCGATGAGTGAGCGAACAAAAGATCAAGTGATTCTAGTCCTTAGCTGCAGTATTGAACTTGACAATGGCCTCATGTAAAGTGAGAGAGCTATCCCAATTATCTTGAGTAAGACGGCTAAAATCATGATGGAGCAGACAACCAGAGAAGAAGCGAAAGTGTTTTTCCTTAGTTCGACGAGCGTGAGAGGAGCTAGTGAGAAGAATTGGCCGATGATCTCTTATACTCACATAGTGATTTACGTATTTGATATGTCATGGTTGAATTTTAGACACCTTTTAAATGTGAACCTATGGTTGGTTGGTTTTTATTTGGATTAACTAATTAAGAATATTTGATGTTGTTTATATAGTGGTTGATTTCCTTATCATACATGAACTTGCATTGTTTTAACTAGTACTACGTATTGCAATGAATTTTATTCTTTTAGGGGTATGTATTATATTTAATTAGTCACGTTGTACATGAAAATCGTTTAATAATGCATCTTTAATTAATAAAATTACGTCACCCCAAAATTATTAATTTATACAAGTTTTAGTATAATTACCTAAATTTTCTTTTAAAAATATTTATCAAAATAAATTAATTACAAATAATAATATTTTAAAAACCTTAATTCTACTAAAGCTGACATATAATAGAAAAAAATAACTCATACAGAATATTGAGAACAATATTTTTTCAACTAGTTAAAAAAACAATTTCTTCAATATTCCATGTGAACCATTTCCCCCCCAAAACTATTACCCCATCAGATTTGCCGCTCGAAGCGGTGATAGGTAGGAAGGATAGAGAAGGAAAATAGGAAGCAAAGATAATGGTGTTAAATATTATTCTGAAATTTGTGGTCCGTCAGATATTGTTCGTAACAGAACATTGCAGGCTGTAAAGTTAAGAGATGAGGAATTTGTGAGTCATATCCGCATGGATGCTGACAACGCTTTAACGTGCAAATGGCTTCCACAATTACATCATTTACCATCCGTATTCATCAATCTTAAGCAATCTCTTTTCCTTTTCATTTCCCATACCTGCGTTCTTCAACAACCCTTACCATTATCCGTGGACAAAAAATTTTTTAGACTCGAATTTTTTTTATTCAAATTGATTTCGAATTATAATTTTATAAACTCGATTTAATTTAAAAAATTCAAGTTCAATTCGAATTATAAAATACAACTTTAATAGTAATTTAAATTTTTTAGTAATTAGTAGATTGATTTTTAAATTTAAGTCGAGTGTATGCACTCTGTATGATATATGTATATCACATATGAAGAAATATATATGTATTGTATATAGTTATAAAAAACTATTTAAATTAGAATCAAATAGTATAATAATATTATAAATATTTAGTATTAATTTTAAATATAAACTGGAAAACATGACTCAAAAAAATTCAAATCAATCTTGAGTTATTAAATAGAACTCGTCAACTCAAATAATTTGAAATTCTTTTATTTGACTCGATTCTATCGTACACTCACACCTAGCTACAATTATTTTCATATATTTGGTCAGAGTCTTGATATCATAGCTGTGGTAAGTAACATTTATAGGTTAATATATATTATAGTATTTTAATTTTAATTTAAAGTTCAATTTATAATAGGATATATTAAGCACAAATCAATATATCTTAGTGGTTAAAGACTATAAGGGTATTTAATTTTTTATTGTCAAATGGTTGAAAATATTTATAATAAATATTACAACGTAACCACCCTAAATTAATAGGAAAAAATAATAGAATTCATTGATTGGTTTTAGTGGTAAAGAAGAGTGTTATTTTTTCTAGAGGTATCGGATTTAAACAACTATACCTGCAAGGTATGTGCGCATTATTAATAGACTAAAAAAACATTTGAATGTATACTACTACTTTGTAATTATCACACATCATTAAAAAAAATTAGTTTTACCATTTTTGTATTAGATACTTAAATTTAATTTAGTGTATAACTTTTTATCAATTAAAATAATTTAATTTAACCTTTTCTTTTAAATAAGCTTATAAATTCGAGATTTTGGTTTATATTGATTAAAAAATATGAATATCTATTTCAATAAAAAAACTAAATTCAAAAATCAATTTAAATCAAAAAAATCAAATTTAGATAACTAATTTAAAAAAATCATAGATCAAAATATATATCTACCTTATAAATTTTGAAACCTAATGACAATGGCCTAGGAAGCCTAGCCCCACCAAAGATTTTGAAAACATATTGAGTATATCTAAATCATTCCTATGTGAAATAAAATAAAATTTCTATTTGTTTATATTAAGAATTTTCTTTATAAGTTAATTTTGTACATTATTCATTAAAAATAGTACAACGTATCTATTTACATTTTTATTTTACACTACAAATTTTAAAATATTTTCAATTAAATAACCTATCATAAATATTAAGTGTATTTATGTATATTTAAACTAACCTTTTTATATATATTTATGTATATTCAAAAAATATTAATTATCTTGTCATCTTCTAGTAAATTTTTAATAGAAAATTACTATTTTTATTATATTTTTAAATTGAATGACTATTTTGTAATTTTTCATAATTAAAGGATGGAAAAAAGAAACACTTCGTAGTTGGAAGACCAAAAGGGTAAACAAATTTTATATAAAGAGATAAAAAAAATATGTTATTAATCCTCTATCCAATCAAAATCTCCAATAGTTGTGGGCTTGTGGCATCTTAATCACATATATGTCATGCCAACATGGCAAGTTGGTCCAAACAAAGAAAAGTCAAAAAAAAAAGAGAAATTTTATATTACGAGTTAAATGAGAATAGTTTAATTGATTAAAAAAATAGTTAATAACGACCAAAAATAATTTTACATGTTTCATATATAGTTAAATATATTTTCCAGTTTTAATAATATAATATTTTTAATTACATCATTAAATATATTTTTTCATTATAAATTACTAGTTAGTTTAGTTGTATGTAGGGATGGCAACCGGGTGGTTTCGGGCCGGGAATTGGTCCCCGTCTCCGTCCCCATTTAAAAATTCTGTACTAGTATCCGTTTAAAAAATCGCGGGGATTTAAATGAGGATCCTCATCGGTAATCGGGAAAAACTACGGAGAAATGGGTATCCCCGTTTAGCATAAACGGTTATTTAAACGGGTAATTTTCATCGCAGGGATAACCGCGGTAGAATCAAATTAAATTTATTAATATTATATATATATATATATATATATATATATATATATATATATATATATATAATAATTATTTTTAATATTTATTGGGCCGGGTATTGCGCTGGGTATTCGGGTAATCGGGGAGGGGATTACCAAACCCGTCCCCGTCCCCATTTAAAAAATTTTATTTTTTCCCGTCCCCGTTTATAATCCCCGAACCCGACCCGTTTAATTCAGTTTTCGATTTTTCCCGACGAGTTCGATTTTTTTTTGTCATCTCTAGTTGTATGGGCACTAAATTCTTTAAGTAAGGTCAAATGTTCAAACTCTAATGTTTGTGAATGTAACAAACTGAGTTGGGAGGGTCGTCCTTAACTCCACAATACTCGATCTAAATTAATCAATTAATATATCAAATACCAATAATTAATTCAATAAGAAATATAGAGTTTTTCATTAACTATACCATGCTTTTTAATCTTAACCCTTGTTAGTCACTAAAGCCTAAATCTAAAGCATCCTTTTGTTTTCTTTTTACAGAACCGAAAATTAAAAGTTACCGACGTGTAAATTATTCAGATTCACGTCTTTTTTTCCCTATATATCCCCAACATATTCCCCACAAATTTTGCCATAACAATATTTCTCTCCCTTCTATGGCAACAAGAGTTCTCTCATCACCGAAGCTCCTCAAGAACCTCCGTTTCTTCATCCGGCCTCTCAACTCCGCCGCCTCCTCCGCCGCCGCCGCTGTTTCTCCCCTCAATTTCGACGACAAATCTGAACATTCCACCGTTGAGAAACACCACCCAACAACAACAACCACCCCTCTTGACTTTGATGATCACCAAAAGCTTTTCGCTTTGGTTTCGACGTTGAAGCTTTTACGTTCATCAGTCAACATCGGGTTGGCTTCCAATGAGACATTCGTCGATTTCGGTACGTGGGTTATGAATTCCCGCCTCATTGAAACACCTTTGCTACGTGATATCATATTGAAAACCGTAAAACATACGTTCTTTGAACATTTTTGCGCCGGCGAAACCCCGGCAGAGGCCGCCGAGTGCTTGAAGAAAATCCAGGAGGCCGGTTTACGAGGCATGCTCGTTTATGCTGTCGAACATACGAGCGATAACGCTGGTTGTGATCAGAATTTCGAGGGGTTTTTACAGAGTATTGAATTCGCCAAATCGCTTCCACCTTCATCCGTAAGTCGTTTTTAAAATTTCATTACCAGCCCGCTCGTTGAGTTTTCATTTATTCATTTTTTTCACAAGTTTAACACGATGAACATTATGAAATTGATCATTAAATTTTTCCAGTAACATGAAACCAACGGTCAATTTATGAAAAGTTTTGAGCTATTCAAAATTTCAAATGGAGATTTCTCTCTCTCTCAACACGTTAACCTCAAAAAGAGAGAGAGAGAGAGAGAGATGAATCCATAGACTTAGGTTCCATCCCTTTATTGTAGGGATTGGAATCAGATATGTCTTTGTCAGCCATGAGTTTTACAGCTTGATTCCAGTTTGAAAAGTTTGAAGTTTTGTTGGAGAAATATTATACAGAAATTTCAACAGCCGCCATTTTTGGATGAAATTTCAACATCTTACTCTTTCTTTTTTCTCCCTTATTTGATTCTATAGGTGAGTTCTGTGGTAGCAAAGATAACAGCAATATGCCCACTTGGGCTACTAAGGAGAATTAGTGACCTATTGAGATGGCAATACAAGGACCCTTCGTTTAGCCTCCCATGGAAACTCAACACTTTGCCTATTTTCACCGACTCCAGTGCTTTATATCACACACTCCAAAAACCAGAGCCATTAACCCCACAAGAAGAATCGGATCTTCAATTGGCGCACCAAAGACTACTCAAGCTTTGCCAAAGATGCGTACAATACAACGTGCCTTTGATTATTGATGCGGAGGACACGTCGATCCAACCCGCCATCGATTACTTCACATATTCATCGGCCATCATGTACAACAAAGACGATCCCATCATTTACGGCACCATCCAAGCCTACTTGAAAGACGCAAGAGAGCGATTGTTTAATACGGCGAAGACCGCGCAGAGTCTGGGGATTCCGATGGGGTTTAAGCTCGTGAGAGGCTCTTATATGTCGAGTGAAACCAAGTTGGCTTCTTCGTTAGGGTTCGATTCGCCGGTTCACAATGGTATCCGGGACACGCACGCTTGCTTCAATGATTGTGCTTCGTTTATGCTCGAGAAAGTCGCGGATGGATATAGCGGACTCGTGCTCGCGACTCATAATCTCGAGTCGGGGCAATTGGCAGCATGGAAAGCAAGAGACGTAGGGATCGACAAGGGGAATAAAAAGCTTGAATTTGCACAGTTATATGGAATGTCGGAAGCATTGTCGTTCGGATTGAGAAACGCAGGGTTTCAAGTTAGTAAATATTTACCCTATGGTCCCGTGGACATGGTAATGCCGTACCTGTTAAGGAGAGCTGAAGAGAATAAAGGCCTATTATCCACTTCAAGCCTCGATAGATTACTCATGGGGTAAGTATTATCGGTTAACAATTTATTTTAATTATTAATAATGTATACGCATTTTAGACTAGCTGCTTAAACCCGAGACTTTAATACAAAACAACATACTCATATTGCTGATTTGGTTTTTGGGAATATACTTTTTGTGCAGGAAGGAGTTGAAGAGGAGATTCAAGAGCCTGCAATTTGGCAAGCCAGCTCCCGCAGGAGGCATGAAGATTGAAATAGGGACGCCATAAATATGTTTTGCCAATAATGTACAAAGTGAAAAATAACACTTATTGTAACATTGGCCCATTTCAATTCATACAGCTGCTTTACAAATCCATCACATTCTTCAATTTTCTCGAATTGTACATAAACTTATCGTGTCACGTGTTATTTATAGGAATGATTAGAACGATTGAAATTTACATTTTAAAATAAATAATTTGAATAAAATAAATTTATTTTAACCTCACTAAAATAATCCCTACATCCTCCAAGTCTCCTATAAGTGCTGTTTCCTAAACCTGTTTATAAAATTTTGTTGATCAGTCAAACCTAATAGATTGGAAATTAATCATAATTATGTCGTGCGCAAAATGTCATTGTTCTCACCGTAAGTAGTTCAAAGTCAAAATCTTGATTTATTGGTTTAGTCATTTTCAACAACAAATTCCAACGTAGATTTTTCAAAAATATTGCTATATAATTTGAAGGTTGAATGAAAGTAAAATATTATTGTTTAAAAAAATTGAAAAATTAAGATACTCGAATAATATTTAGAGAGTGAAGTATTTTTTACATATTCTAGATTGGTCGGTAGTCAGAAATGTAAATAGAAATATTATTAGTCCCAAAAATTATTCCAAAGGATGCGTGTAACTTTAAAACAATTTGCATTCTCAAATAAGAGATAACAACAACTGATGCTTCAATGACGTGGAAATCACACCCCCCATTCTTTTTTTAATTATTAGTCAAACTCAAAACCAACCATTTTCCTCCAAAATAGTGTAAAAACCAAACATCCACAACAACCGGTGCACACTCAATGTACAAAACTAACGATTCATTTTTCTTGTAAATACATCAACGTGAAGAATTTGAAACGTTTCGAATTTTGCGTATTTTTGGAATATAATGGCATGTGACGGTTGTTTTTTTCCTTTATTTTTCGAGTAGGAAATTACTGGATTATGATCCTCGTTAAGCTTGAATGGGAATGTTTCGATTGAGTTTGATCTGGGTGATTATAATGTAATCTTTGTTCAGAATTTTCTTAATCAATTGACAACGCTCACATCCTACAGATCCAACTACTCGAATACAAGATCTTTAAAGAGAACAATCTTCTATTTTATCATTAAGTCTATTTCATAGGTTCAAGTTTGATTTGATTTTTAACACAAAAAAAATGAGTTTAATTGAATTATATAATCTATTAATAATAAAATCAAAATTGAATTATTTTATCTTGACCGACATATCTTATATATAAAAAAACATTTCAATTCTCATATAATCTTTGTCTAATTATCATGATTCATATAATTTTTGGAAAATTCAAAGTGATGTCAAAATCACGTGTATGAATTTAGACAATAAGGAGTAAGAGTGCATTAATTTGTGAATGGAAAATGAGAGTAGAAAAGGGAATCCACCATAAATGGATAAGTAGAAAGAAAGGAGGCCGTTGAATATTCCCACCCAACTTTGTTGACTCAGATTCCATTGTTTTTTCTTGACAAAAAGAGATTTCAGAAAGAAAAAAGAGAGAAATATTTGGCATAAACAGAGGAATCCAAGCTCCTTGTGGGTGGAATCTGTAATATAAATAGAATCTATGAGAAATGACAGCAGCGAAAAGCACCTGCAAAATTCAATGTTATGCAAATTTGATGAGATGATGTGGTAAAAATACTATTTGAACAGAGGTTAAAGAAATTATTTTTTAATTAGAGTGGAATGAACCGTGAATGAGATGAGAAAAGACAATTAAATTATCTGACGATTTTGGAAAGACATCTCATAGATTTTTAAAAAGAATCTCCCCATCTAAAATTGGTTTCTGATCAGAATTTAAAAGACGAATGATATACTCGTTTAATACCGGTAACTTGCTGGAAATGTTGTATGCAGCATAAGCATCATTGGGTGCAGATTCAAGCTGTTGTACTGGCGGGACATCCTCTACACTGGAATATTTATTGGATATCATACTTGAAGGTCTAGCCTTAAAGGGAAGTGTAGACACCAAATTTCATCCCATTATAATATTTAATATAAAACATATTATGTATTATGTGTTATATTATTCATTTATTTATTTGTTATTTTCGTTACATTTGCAGACCCTACAAAAAACACGTGGCCCAGCAACAAACAGACCCACGAACCAGGTCCAAACCTGATCACCTAAATCGGTTAGGGTTTTTGAAACCCTAACCTCATCCCTCGTCAGCACCGCACGCCTCCATCGTCGTAACAGTCCACAGTCGCACGTCTCGCTCTAACAACCCGCATTTGACGCCGATTTCCTCGACCACCACAACAAGCAAAGCAAGAGTTTCAGTCCTAACAGGAGTCTAAAATCAGATTATCACTATAAATACACAGAGAATGTAAGGAAAAAGGGGGAGGAAGAAGAATAGCAAACACAATCGCAACATCATCGAGAGCCAAACCACCACAAAACCATTCGGAAAACCCGAAGCCAAGCAAAAAGAAACACAAAAATACGAAAACTCTACCGTAGATCCACGGACTTTGAGGTGTTTCCAGACAAAACAAAGCCCAAGTTCGTATCCGGAGTTGAAAAGCGCATCGAAAGGTGACTCTTTTCCTAATCGCCGGCCAGCGACGGTCGAAACGGCGGGCCCTGCATTAGGGTTGGACTCCGACTGGAGCGTTGGAGAGATTTCTCTCCATCTCTCTCTCATCCCCTCTCTTCCATGGTGAAACTGAAGCAAATGAGTGAAATAAGGCCCATTTTTGGGCTTATATATAACGCACAAAACGGCGTAGTTTTGAGGTGGGCTACGTTTGTAATTTCGCGTAAGGGTAAATGGACCTCAGGGTCCCTCATTCTTTGTAACTTTATTTTTCTAGCCACCTACCGAACCTTTGCTTTATTTTATATTGAGCATTAATTTTCCAGTACTTACATTTTAGTCCTTTAATTTTTCCCTTTCTTTTCTTTTGGTTTGGACTTACATTTTCTTTATAATTTTATTTTAGTCCTAATCACGTCTATGGTATTTAATTGGAAAATTTTTCAATAGAATTATTTTCTCCAAATTTTGATCTTATTCCTCACTTTGTTTACGTTTTTAGTGAGTATTTATTTAAATTCATGTTCATTTAAGTCAAGTTTATTTACTTTTATTAATGCATCACGAGGACATGTTCAAAATGCTTTTTAGATCCTTGCGTCTAGTTTAGGATTTGCTCTGCATTAGAGATGTGTGGTCACTGTCTTTTCATTGTGCTTTGTGTCAAGTCAATTTTATTTATTTTTAGACATTTATATACCCTATATTAGGCTATTGTTATATACCTTGCGTGTAGTATATAACATGTTATGAATAAGCAAGATTTTTTTTTATATTTTATACATGTGCATCTCATACCAATATATATATATATGTTTGTTGTTTTCTAGTGTGTATACATACGTACATCATAGATAAAAGTCTTTTAGGTACTTGCATTTGTAATTTATTTTGATTTCTTTCTCCTTTTCACTTTTATTTTATTTCATTTCCTTTTTTTATTTTTTTTACTAGATCTTATTTATATTTATTTAGTTTATTATTATTATGTTAATATTTTTTCCTTTTTTTCATATTCTTTTTTTATTTCACAATCTAACAATATTTTTGACTTTTAGGGGTATGTTTTAATCAATCGAAGGTAAATAATCCGAATCGAATACTTTTAAATTTTAATTTAAATTTTAAATTTTCGCAACTAAGGCAACCGACAAATTAATTAGTACCGAAATGGCGGTTCAAGGGTGCTAATCCTTCCTTGACCGTAACCGACTCCCGAACCCGACACATTTCTGGTAAGACGCAGATCAAGTAAGACGGTGTCCGATCTACCTAAATATCGTTTTAAAATGATCGGTGGCGACTCCAATCCACATTTTTCAAGTCCAAGCCCAATTCCGGGGCCCAACCGAAAGACGGTTGCGACAGCTTGGCAACTCCACTGGGGACAGGTAAGTGAGTCAGGCCGAAATTAATTTTCGGTTGTCTTTTTATGCGACAATGGTAAATTTAAATTTAAATTTATTTATTCGATTCCAATTATTTATCTTTGATTATTTTTCAAATAAATAGTTGTATTGACGTTTTTTAATGATTTCAGATTTTTTCAAAATTGTCATCTCTAAGCTCTAAACTCGAGCTCCGAACCCGTTTTAAGTGGGGGTGAAAGCGACGCATTCGTGTGAATTTATTCACCGCATATGCCTAGCAAGTAGCCTTTGGGATTCATATACCTTATGTCTTCGTGTGAATTTATTCACCGTGCGGGCATAAGGGAATGTGTCCTCTCGAGTTTAACTTAGTCCACACAAGCTTGTAATGGGCTTAGGACTAAGGGTCTGGCAAGCCCAAGGGGGCACCAGCAAGGAGAACTCGAGTACCTTTTTAGAACCTAAACCGGGAGAGTACAGGGAATTAGAGCCTACCCCAAAACCTCATTCCAAACCCTAGGCTATTTTGTTTTTAAGCTTTATTTTCTGTTCAAAGCATGCGAACTAGACAAATATGCGGTTATGATTTGTTTGAAATTAGCATGTGGGATAGAAATCATGTCCGGGTAGGAATATTAAGCATGTTCGGGTAGATATCATGTGGGGTAGGACTTTTATTTTTCATGATTATTTTTTATTATTTTTACCTCACTACCTTTTTTTTCTCTTTCATTTTATTTTCATCACTTGCATCATTTAAAAGAGGTGTTGATCACCAAAAACGTATTTACTAAACATGAATAATCTGCATTAATGGACAAAGGGGTTGTAATACAATAGATGAAAATGCAGAGGACAATCTACAAGGAGACTATGTGTCAAATTCAATCCAGAGGACGTGCTGCCCACAATTGAAGAGTATATCACTATACTGCATTATAAAGGACTTGATGAACCGGGTCTATATCAAGCACAATGAAAGCTTATCTTTGAAGAACTGACTGGAAGAGGTTGCAGGGACAAGATGAAGGTTATGTATCTTGGAAGTCCCTTTAAACACGACAATGGCAAGATGATAGCTGAAATTGGAGACCATTGCTGGCGAATTCAAGAAATAGATTAATGAACTTCACATAAATTAAGGGCTCAAGTGAC